CAACCCAGGGCCACTAATCCAGAGAAGGCTCTTTGGCTATTCTAGGCTCCAGTATTAAGGTGATTTGAGACTATCACATTCCAGCAATCCCAGGGCATGGACAGAGGAAGAATAAGGGGCTAAGTCAGTTTTGGGACCTAATATAAGTCTGTGTCCTATCTTTACCTGGCTTTACATGCAGCTTCCTTATGTCAAAGTCCTGGGCAATGGTAGCTGCCGAGATTTCATGCTTCTGCAGCTCCCCCGAGCTGAGACTAGCTAGCTCCACTGCCCCACTTGGGATGTGTCACGTGTATTCTTCTCATTGCACAGAGCCTGGGGTTTCCGCTAGCATTGCCTTCTGATGGATGCAGGTCCCATAGACCTATGGCTTTAAGCCCAATCCCTGTTTTGCAATTCTGTTCTACAGAGATTGTTAATCCTCTTTGTTGTTCTGTCTTTTTAAATTTTTTTTCAATTATTTTCTATTTTTATTTACCATTTATCATCACTACCTCATTGCAGCTCCTCTGAATCAAAGCATGGCTTTGCAATGCCATCCTGACCAGGAGTCTCAAGATTTGTAATTAGAAGTACTTTTGACAGCATTACAAATACTTGTAATACATTTTACAAACTATTTCATGCTGCATAAAGTACAATTAAGATTTGGAATTTTCCCAATAAACACTATAAAAATATTCTCAGGACAAATATAATTCAATTTTTATTTATCTTTATAACTAATGGGATTATTGACATTTCTATACATTACACCATGCCTAGTCTGATGCCTGGCATCCAGTAATTGAATACAAAGTTGAGTACGTGCTTTTGTTTCCTTTGAGTAACAGGCAAAAGATTTCTAATCACCCAACCTATTTCTCTTCTTTCCCTTGATTAAAGACTAAATATCTATCTAAAAAGCAGTTTCAAAGGGTTCATCAAGGGCTGGCCCAGTGGTGCACTGGATAAGTGCGCCGCTTGGGAAGCGCGGCGGCGCTCCCGTCCGAGGGTTCGGATCCCACATACAGACCGGCTCCCGCTCACTGGCTGAGCGAGGCGCGGGAGCAACACCAAGGCTTGCAATCCCGTTGCCGGTCCCCGGTCCGGTACGGGGGCAACACTGAGGGTTGCGATCCGTTGCCAGACACGGAAAAAAAAAAAAAAAAAAAAAAAAAAAAAAAGGGTTCATCAAATACTACACTAAAAGTAGACTCTATATTATAAATGAATATGAGTTTGACATATGGATAAGCAGTTACCATTAATGGCACCGACACATCATAAAGCTGTCAGAGACACTATCCCAGCTGTTGTCAAATTCTCCCTTTATGACATTGTAAATAATTATTTACCAATACGATAAAAATTTGCCTCAAAAACAAAACTTCCTAAAAGAGGTTCACTTAACACTAAACCTTGTTTAAATGGCCTTTTCCAGGTCAGATAAGAGTAGCAGAGAAAACAGCCATTCAGATACATTAAGATAGAATTTGAGACTTGCAAAAACTGTAAACATTCTACTAGTTACCGTTTTAAAAGCATCGATTTCCCATATCTCTTCTCTGGATAATGAAGCTTTGGAAGAAATGTCTGGCTCCCAGTCCTGGAAACATGGTGTGGCATAAATAAACCCAACTGCTGCAACGTAATGAGATTAACAGACATTTTTCTCCTTAGAAAAGTTGACTTAAGAATTTCACAGGGAAGAAAATTGAATTCTAACTTCTTCAAAAAATAGTGTTATTCTGGCATTGTATGTTTATGTCTAGCCTTGACATATGAAATTTGAGTTCAATTGGCAGAAACTCAGAAAATACTCCTCAGACACTCAGACAGCACTTAAAGTTTTAGCAAATATTTATTTCTTTTTCATCTAAGTTGAACCAAATAGAAATTTTACATTATAGTACAGACAAATTATGTAGTGCGTAGTGGCAGATCCATGTTATTGTCAAAGAGACACATTGTCAATGATCGCTGCAGCATGCCACCAGATAATAATGTCTCATGGCTTATCATCAGTGAAAAGAAATAAATGGCACATGCTGTTACGGACCCAGCCAAGCAAATAAAAGAATACCATACAGACAAAAATACTCCCATGTAGTGCTCCAGCTTATAACTAAGCCATTTAAGCAACACGAACAGAACACATTCAATTTATAATAAAAGCCAAAATATAGGAAAAAATAAAATAAAATAAACATACTAGCTTAAATAACACTGCTATAATCAAAAGTGTGTTTGTGGAAAATTTATTATTTATATCTGATTCAAACACAACAATTGTTGGCCTGAAAAATAAATACCTCTTTTAACATGTAACTTAATGTGTTATTCTGTTATTATCATCATAAGTCTGGCACTTTCTCCCAGGATCCCAAATATCCATATGTATAATACTAACTACTTTTCTTAATATATTTGTTGGGGTAACGATGTCACAATACAATCCATTTTTAAGGACAACAGCTGCTGTGTTTATCTCATGCTTAACACCAACACTCAAAATGATTTATTGTATTTTACAAATTTTACAGTGCTCATAATCACTATGAAAATTTACAAAACCCTACACCCTATAGCAAATATTGAACACTCAGTAAAAACATCCTAAGAATTTAATTTTGGAAAGGAAAAAACTCTGAAATATAAATGGAATCTCCACTGAATAAACAGTCAAAGATTTTCTGTTCCCTTTTTTCTTAAGTTCTTGTTAGTGTTTATTTCTATTTTTAATCCCTCTTTCTCCATGTTGATAGCTTTCCACCAAAATATTCAGTAATTAACATATAAGAAAAAAATTAGCAAAGTAGAATGTTAGACATGAAAATGACCTTACAAATCATGAAGCAAAATCCCTTTAAATTGTAATGTTTCTTTCTAACAAATCTGGATCTCTAGCTCATTGTGCTAAGATTGCGTTCTGTTGAAATTCATGCTATTTACAGGTCTTCTCCCTTAACAGAGAATAACACAAGAAATGCAAAGAAGCAGGAGACTGACTCTATTTGGAGGTGTCCCTTTGAAACTACGATGGGTGGTTATGATTCTTTCTCAGCTGTGTGTTTTCCGAGAGCATAATTTCTTTCCTTCACCGCGTTTATGCCTGGGGAAAATACTGTACGGTCAAGGGCAAACACTTTATTCCTCCAAGATTGCAGGTGCCTAAGTTTGTAACCTTCCTGAGTTTAAAGAAGAAGAAGAGTCACTCTGATCCATTCATTTGTGTCTTTCCAAGCCTGGGCATTTCTCAGAAAAGATTCTGAATTTGAATTCTAACTCCAGACAATCAGCTTTGTATCTCATGAATATTCATAACCAAAAAAATTGTTTAAAAGAATCAGAAGAATTTTTCTGACCCATTAGAACGATATGCAAGTCTAACCACAGTGTCTATAAATAAAGGTTGATCAGAACAGAAAAAGAAAAAAAAAAAAAAAAAAAAAAATACTGGGAATATGTTTTTGTGGTATGGTTCAGATTCTCAGGAAGGACAGAGCAACATAGGTTGTTTTTATTTTGAGAGTAATGAGGATTTATCTTAAAGTGTGTGTGTGTATGAGAGAGAGAAACAGAGGGAGAGAGAGAGAGAGTGAGTGAGAGAGAGAGAGAGGGAGTGAGAGAGAGAGAAGGGGATTAAGAGCGAGAGAGAAAATTAAGGTGATAGGATATGGAACATGTCCTTGGAAACTGCTCTCTCTCTCTTTCTCTCTCTCTCTGTCTCTCGACTTTCCTAGTTCTCTTAAGCTACTACCATACAAAGGCAGGTAGCAAGATACATGGTATGTTACATAAAATGATATGATATATGATATATACAGAAAATTTAGTGCCCTTCCCAAATTGTGGACCTGAGTCCTCACATTTTTCTTAGCATTTTCATAAGCTTTCTTTGGGTTTAGATTTATTTTTCCAGAATCAATTTTAGCATTTTATGCAAAATGTGTCTTTTCTGGTTAATTTATCATCTTATTTTAGTCAAAAAGTTTGTATGTGCCTTTAATTCTTAAGGCTCATGTCACAGAAAAGTTATTTTCCTCAGCTTTATTGTTTTAGTTACCAAATACTTAGTGCAAAACTGATATCGTTGTTATAATAATTATCAGCCGCTGTATGTTTTATTGAGATTAAAATGACTACTTATGCCACATCTGTCTTATTATGTTTTTCCTTTAAGTTGGATACAAGAGAAAATCCTGTTTTTCTTTCTTGTGTATTAATGGAAGAATATTTTCTGTAAATGGTGTTTCATTGATTTATCTGTTTGCTTTGAATATTTCAGACACGAACTTTGGTAAGGACCCTGTGATCTGTATTTATGGTTCTATTTTTCCAAATTGGACAGGGTCTTACTGAAATACAGTTTTTTAAAAAATAACTTCCCATACATGCTGTTTTCAGTTACTATTGGTAAGCAGCAATGCCCTCTGGTGGATTCTCAGGTAAATAGCAAGTGGGTTTTTTGGAAGATGCCAGTTTTCAAAATATTTGTATTTGTTTGGGGCATATCTGAATAAACTTTTAAAATATTCTTAAAATACTTATGTATTTGTTAATTTTAGAATGAAATTTTAAGTCATTAAATGTTATCAACACTTGAACTTAATTATAGCGCTTATAAGCTATCTTTGAAAAGTGAAATAAATAGTACTTAAAATTAATTGTTTGTAATTGTTTTCATGTATACTCTACTTACTTTCAATTTTATTTAAATGAAAAAGTATAAACATTTTTATATTTTACAAAGGTAATTGGTAAATATTTTAAATAGGAAAAGAAAAAACTTCAAGAAATAAACATTCTCAAAGGTACAAACTTTTGAAAGCATGTATAAGAGAAAGGTAAAAAAAATGCTCTAATCATCTCAGTAGTTAAATGAACTAATAAAATAATTTTCCTCTCGGTTAATATGAAATAGGGCTGAAAATTTGGTATCTGAGAGAAAAATGCCTTAATATTTTTTTTTTCCCACAAATAAAACATTGTGTTTCCAGAATATATTAGATCAGGGAAGAAGGTTACAAGTTTAAGTTTTAATAGAACTTCAATGCTGCAATATCTTTATTTTTGACTTGTGAGGTAATAAATAATCTTTAAACTTATTACCTCCATCATAAAGCATGACATAAGCATTAACATGTTTTTTATTTCCGTGGACTAGATGTATCTACTGATGATCTACTTTCAGATATTTCTCATCTGATCATTACATCTTGAACACAGGTGGCAATGCTCAGATTTTTGGCCTATGAATATGCATAGTCAATAAAAATGTAAATAAAAAATAAACAACAAATCTACCGTAGACAGGTATCTGTAGAGAAAAAGAAATGTACGAGAATACACTTTGCAACCACAAGAGGGTAGCAAATATCTTCTAGTTAGAATCTTAACCATAACTCCATTTGTTTTGACATGCTTTGATATTGTTCTGAGAAGTCACCTTAGCTTCATTCTTTCTACGTCAGAGTGAAATTTAAAGGATGCATTTTTGTTATGAAACAGAAATATTACAAATGTGGTTTAATGAATTGTCTATGAAGGGCACAAGCCTCAGGGTGACCACATTTTTTCTTTCATGGTTTACAGCAATCACAACAACCTGCTACTTAAAACTAATAGTTTACACAACACTAATACAATAATTCCTAAAAAGTATAGAAAATACACATAAGACTTAAAGTACCTAATATTCTGCATATTTTACATCAGAGTGGAAAGGAACATTTCAGAAGGATCAAAACATTTATTTTTATGTTTTCCATGATTATGATCTTCTCTAAGTTTTCTCCAATATTCTTATAACTTTAAGTCCTCCAAAGGTAAAATAATAATTGCTATGGACAAGCAGCAAGTACTCAGAACTACAGTTATCATTTTTTGATAAATATAATGTGAAACCATTAAGCAACACATTTGTTTAAAAAATTAGTTAATATTATGTGAGGTTTATCAAGTCCAATGAGAATGTAGAATAATTTATCATAACACCCTGACAGTCATGTTATTTCTGTATTACAGAAATCTCTTTTGCATAATGCAAAAAAGTTGGATGTTTTTTCATTATTTGTTTTTCTTTAGGGTCCAAATATAAATTCTTCAGACACTAGTAGATGGTTTCACCCCATCAGGAGTCCTGCGTGTGCCTGGGCAGGCGATAGTGCTCAGGTTTGGGTTTGGAACGGAGCTGCTTTTTCTGTGGGTTGGCGTACTTCCACTTGGAGGGGGACATTTTAAGCTTTTTCCTCTTCTTATCTGTGCACCATACTTTTTCACAGTATTCTTCCACTCTCTGGAAGTTGCTATAACCAATCAGCTGCAAGAATTCCTTGTACCATGGTTTTGTTCCCTGGGGGATGCCACTCTGGGCAGGACAAGGCATCCTGTGAGGCCCGTCCTCCTCATGGTCTTTGTTAAACATTTCTTCCACTCTCTCCTCTTCCACTACCTCCAAGGTGACTTTACGAACAGTATGGACAAAACTGTGCTCTACTGTCTTGCAAAAATAGGTCCCAGCATCTGACTTGCGTACCCTTAGGAAGAGTAAACCAAGATCCATCTTAACCACTCTGTCATCTGTCTTCACCTGCAAAAACAGAAAAGAACATGGTGACAGAGTACTATGCAGGAGAAAAAACAACATTCTATAACTCATTCCACCACCTGACTTGAGTTCTGTAATTTTCGTTATAACATAATGAAATACTGAAAGTCATGTCTATAAAAAGATGCTAAGTAATTAAATCAATTATGTGTGATTGTGTGTGCGTATGTACACATGTCCTGAACTTAGTTACCCTGGAGGCCAGTTCATATTAATAACTTTGAAGTCATTTCATATCAATATCTTAAAGAGCAAAGCGAGAGGGCTTCTCCCTATTGAATTCAATTTATTATTTGAAAAAAAAAATTCATTTCAGTATCACACTCAAGGTTAGAGTGACATAAAGGTTTGTCAAATTTATTTTTTAAATATCTGCTTTTGAATGGACAGGACAACGACCATTTCCCACATTCTTTCAGGAATTCTTATACCTTCCAGATCATAGTGATCGATGTTTCTACAAGGACCTTTGTTTATAGAACTGGGCTACCTTCATTCTCTCTCCTTACCAAAAAAATGAATCAATTAATTTAGTGACATCCATTACACTTCTACAAAGCTCTCCATTAACAGAGATTAAAGAAATAAACAAGTAAAATCCAGACTTTGCCTTAAAGGAGCTAACAATCTAGTAAATGTTAAGTTTTAATATACCTTCAGTGTTGAAATATCTCCTTTTTATGTTTTTAAAATAATTACTTATAACATTATTTTTATAAAAAATTAGTTACAATTCAGGGTAAGAAGAGCACAACAGGATTTCAATGAATAACTCATATTTTACAACAAATGGTTGTACTAGAGAGTAAACAGTTTGACATTAGGCAGAGCTACATCCAATCATTGGCACCACCATTTACTAACTGTGTGATATAGGGCATTTATGTATATTTCCTGCCTTAGTTTTCTTCATAAAAATTAGAATAATCTAATAGCTTGAATGATTGCTGTGAGTTAAATAAAATAACATAGGTGAGGATACTTGGCATATGCTATTGATAGTTACCTCTACCTTTCCTATATACATTCTTCTAGCTAAAAACAAACTTAGGTGTGTTTTCATGTGGCCTAGAACCTTATAGTAATGCTATAAAGGTGATTCCCACTATACTGGCAGACTTCCCCTTGGAGAACACAAAAATGAATGCAATATACACCTTTGTCAATATAAAAAGTGTAGAGACAACAAGTACAGCCACTGTGGCAGTAAAGGCCATTAATAACAAGCATGCTTTTGCCCCAGTAAGATCCCGGCCAGGACTGCCAGACTTCGACCTGCCCAACCTTGATCAGATTCCTAGCATGGCCTAAGCTGCAACGTAACTACTCAGACGTGAAAACTGATTATTTATATAAGAATTCTTCAAAAAATTCGTGGAAATTTGTGTATTATCTTTTCATTCTATTTTTCCACGAACTTTTTGAAGTGCCCTGGTATAATTTGTGGATAATATGGCAAAAATGCCATTGATGATGTATCAAAAAAGATAGATGTTGTTTGCTAGTTATGGAGTATCCAAACAGCATTTGTTTTAGCCATGTAAGGTAAATCAATTACTCAGAAACTTCAGAGTGGCAAAGTTGGGGAGATAAAAGAGGCTCCATAAGTCACAGTTGCTTCCCTTGACTTGACAGGACCATGCCCTGGTAGGTATAATGCTATAGCCATTAACTCAAGAACTTCTCCAGTAAGGAACTAGGAACACCCACAAAGCAAAAGCATATTCGCTACATAGAAACAATTGGTTCTATAGATAGGTTTTGCTCTGAGTATCTATAACACCTGCCACAGCTAACTAACTCTTCAAGGACTCGTGTTCAACAGGCCTCCAGGCCAGGTCTCTGTGCAGCCTTCTCTTCCCCCACTAGCTTTTTCCATGAATTTATCATACATGGCAACCTTTGACTACCCCATGCCTCCGATGATACTGACTCTGAACAGCACAACCTCCATTGTTTTTAAATTTGTGGTTGCATTTGATATAGATGGACCTGCCTCCTTAAACGTATCTTTTTTTTTTTCCTGTGTCATACATGCCACTATACTGTCCTCGTTCTCTTCTTGATTTCTTCTTCGTTTCTGTTTTTTTTTTTTTTTTTTTTTTTTTTTTTTTTTTTTTTTTTTTTTTTGTCTTTTTCCATGTCCGGCAACAGATCACAACCCTCAGTGTTACCCCCGTACCGGACCGGGGACCGGCAACGGGACCGCAACCCTCGGCGTTGCCCCTGCGCCTTGCTCAGCCAGTGAGCGGGAACCCGTCTGTATGTGGGATCTGAACCCTCGGGCGGGAGCGCCGCCACGCTTCCCAAGCAGCGCACTTATCCAGTGCGCCACCGGGCCGGCCCCATCTTCTTCGTTTCTTTTGCAGATTCTCATTCCCCTAAGATACAATCCTTCATACTTCACTGATGTCACGTTTTATTTCCATCCTTTTGGTAACTCTTCTGTCTCATTTCAACCAGCTTCCCTAAAATGTTGTGTGTTACATATAGACAATCCAATGTTTTGTGTTTCATATTAATTAAAAAATTCTGAGAATTTCATGATCCTTTACCACCTACAATTCAGCATCTTTCCATTTAAGTGTCCTTCTCTGTCTGCTTACTCCCCTATTTCTGACAATTGCGTCATTATTCTTCCAGTCTCTCATCCTCAACTGTCAATCATGCGTACTTCTTTCTCATCATGTCCTCACAGCCAGTACATCACGAATTCCTGTCAAGATTTCTTCAGTGGTGACCCTCATAAACACTTTTCCCTCTTCACTATTTTACCACAATATTAGATTCTCAAACTTCATGACTGTTTCTTTGACATTATCTCATGGCAGACTCCCCCAGAGTCTTCCTCTGTATATTCCTTCTTTTATGTCCAACTTTATTCTGTTCAGGACCTCTGCTCTTGTCTCTGCCCAGAAGGGCTTCCCTAAGGCTGGTTACTTATTCTGAATGACTGAACCAAATATTATCTCTTCAAATAGGCCTCCCTCACATCCCTGTGAAAGTGTCATCCCTCCCTTATTACCATCTTTTCACCTGTTAACCTTTATGCACCTGAGTGTGCAACATAACATGGAAATATATAACAATAGACATTCAATTAATTTTCTTGAGGTACCCTTTTTATTTCAACAAATGGGTACTCTTTAAAGCTCACTTTCCTTTGTGATGCTCCTGATTGTGAACTTAGATCTCTATTGCTTGCCTGAGCAGACGAAAATTGCTCAATTAACCAGATTCTGCCTTTCTAAATCTAGATCCCCAAACAGCTTAATGTAGTGTTTATCAAGATAGGGTTGGTAGAACAGGTGCATTTCTGGAGGTCAATGAATTTTCTATAAGGAATTCTTAAATTAGTATGTGTATTATCATGATAATCAATATGAACTAATAAACTATATTTGGGGTCATGTGGAAGATCAACTCCAATGTTAGTATTTGTGTTGATCATAGATTCTGAACTATTTTCAAAACATTAATGGTTTCCAGATGCTAAGAAGAACAAAGATGGATTTAATATGTTAATGATACGTTCCAGCCAAATGAAAACCAAACAACATCCCTATGTAGTAATAAACATAAGAAGTTTTGAAGTTACTTGAACAAAGTATTGGGGGGATTGAGTCCTCACATGGAATACAGTGCTACAGAGTGCTATAGGTGGAAAGTTTTATACACACACATACACATTCACAAGTAGCAGACCATATCCCATATTGCATTCATGGAGAGATCTACTTCACCAAAAAAAAAAAAAAAATCAATATATTGAATAAACATTTTAATGATACATAGATTTGTTTATATTTTATTCATAAATTTATTTTGATTCTGTATTTGAATAAAAGCTGCAATCATAAAGAATGCATGTGTTGTTTCATTCTTGTGAATGTTTAATGAATATTTTAAAAGAATTCATGCTAGCAGCCTAAAATGTTTTATTTTTAAGGGCTGGGGCAACTCATACATTGCTAGAATCAAATCTTTCCTTTCATAATTCCTTCTGCTGTCAATTCCCTGCATCACCACCCTATTTCCCACTTCCACGTCTTATTCTTGTCTTATTCTCTCTTTCATTGTCTTAGTGAACTCCTTTCTCCTGTCCACCAATCCATTTTTTTTTCATTTGCCTCTAGGATTAGTTAGATGTTTCACTTCCTTTATACTTTCTTTACAGCCTATAAAGATCTCTGCTTTTTTGTAACCCAATAGCATTCACAGTTTTAGTACAAAATCTGTTACTTATATTCCTCTTCAAATTATTTTTCCATGCAAGTCTTATCTCTTTAAACGTATCATAAATTTCTTAAGAACAAAGGCCTATCTCCTTATTCATCTAAATTATTCCATAATGAGTACAGTGCTCAGAACACAGTGAAAAATGAGAGTGTGTTAATTTGTGCATGAGGCATAAACATGCAAGGCACTGGAGGATGCCAATAAAGATGTATCCAAAATTATTCACACTTCCAGGTAAATCCAATGATAATTTGAATAGAAGGTAAAGAAGCATGATTTCTGGAGCAGTTAGTAACTCATTGGGGTGGGGTGGTGCTTCAAAAATATGTAGGAAATGTAGTTCTAGGATACTGCCTTTGCCTAAAACAATCTGCATACAGACATCCACATTGAATATCATCCTATATTGTCTCTCTACTTTGTCTCCTGTGAAAGTGAATAATACATGAGAACATATAAAAGGCATCTAGCTTAGTTTCTGGCATACAGCAGCAGTTTATGAAAGTGTCTTAAAACAAAAAACCAAAGTAAAAACAAATACAAATCCTTGACCACAAACAAATTTCAAATCCTTGAAATTAGAGGGTTTTTTTTTTTTTTTCAAGTTTGGCATATAAAGGGGGTATTTCTTTCATAATGAGAAACCCAAGTTTGAGAAAACTTCATTATATACATATGAAGTCCAGACCGATTCACAAAGACATGGAAGCATGACAATTATCATGGGAATTATCCTTCATAGT